ATGAAAGGGACACATCATCATCTGCACAGTATGATAACATGAACCCATACCCTCAAATTAATCACTAGGAAACATCAGACAAATCCACTATAAGGAATGTTCTATTATAAAGGCAGGGAAAGAGAGGCCCTGTGTTAAAACTGCTACTGTCATAAAAAAGTAAAGACTGGAAATGGGAAGTCCTACCCAGAGCAACTGGGCAAGAGAGAAATAAAGGATATCCAAATTAGAAAGGAGGAAGTCAAACTGTCCCTGTTTACAGATGATATGATCTTGTATAGAGAAAAAACTAAAGACTGGCAAAATTCAGCAAAGTTGCAAGATATAAAACCAATATACAAAAATATTGCATGTCTATACACAAACAACAAACTAGCTGAAAAAGAAATCAAGAAGGAAACCCCATTTGCTATACCTTAAAAAAAAAATACCCAGGAATAAATTTAACCAAGGAAGTGAAAGACTTCTACAAGGAAATCTACAGAACAGTGATGAAAGAAATTGAAGAAGATACAAACAATGCAAAGATATTCCATGTTCATTGATTAGAAGAATTAATCATTTTTAAAAATGGCCATACTATCCAAAGCAATCTACAGACTCAATGCAATCCCTAATAAAATACCAATGACCTTCTTCACAGGAACAGGAAAAAAAAAATCCTGCAATCTGTATAGAATCATAAAATACTCCAAAAAGCAAAAGCAATCCTGAACAAAAATAAAGCTGGCAGAAGCATACTACTAAATTTCAAAATATACTACGCAGCTGTAATATCCAAGACTGCATGGTACTGGCATAAAAACAGAAACACAGAGAAATGGAATAGAATAGATAACCTAGAAATTAATCCATGTATCTATAGCTAACCAATTTTTGAACAAAATGCCAAGAACATTCACTGGGGAAAGGACACCCTCTTCAATAAATGGTGCTGGGAAAACTGGATGTTCATATGGAGAAAAACAAAACAAAAACTCCCAACTCAAAATGGTCTTTGATCCATACAAAAATAATCTCAAAATGGGTCAAAGACCTAAATGTAAGACCCCAAACCATAAAACTACTAGGAAAAAACATACGACAAATGCTTCAGGACATTGGTCTGGGAAAAGATTTTATGAAGACCTCAAAAGCACAATAACCAAATGGAATCCTATCAAACAGAAGTTTCTGCACAGCAAAGGAAATAATCAACATAGTGAAAAAGACAACCTGCAAAATGGGAGAAAATATTTGCAAACTATTCATCAGACAGGGGACTAACATCTAGAATACACAAAGGAACTCAAAACATCTCAAAAGCCAAAAAAAAAAAAAAAAAAAAAATCTGATTTAAAATTAGGCAAATCATCTGAACAGACATTTCTCAAAACAAGATACACATATGGCCAACATACAAATTTTTAAAATGTGGGGCACATCATTAATCATCAGGGAAATGCAAATCAAAACCACAATGAGTTATTATCTCACTTCAGGACAGCTATTATCACAAAGACAAAAAATAACAAATGCTGGTGAAGATGTTGAGAAAAGAGAACTCATACACTGTGGTTGGGTATCTAAACTAGTACAGCCACTATGGGGAATAGTATGGTAGTTCTTCAAAATACTATTAATACATCTACCATATGATCCAGCAATCCCACTAATGGACATTTATCCAAAGAAAAGGGAATCTGAATATTGAAGTGACATCTGTACCCCCATGTTTATTTCAGTGCTATTCACAAAAGACAATCTTAATGTCAAGTTCAACCTAGGTGTCCAACAACAGATAATAAAGAAAATGTGGTATATATACAAAATGGAATGATATTCAGCCATAAAAAAATGTAATCCTGTCAACATGTAGCAACATGAATGGAAATGGAAGACATTTTATGTTAAGTGAAATAAGCCAGCAAGAGAAAGTTAAACACTGCAGGCTCTCACTCATATGCAGAAGCTAAAAAAGTCGATTCCAAGGCTGGGCATGGTGGCTCACGCCTGTAATCCCAACACTTTTGAGGCACTGTGGGTGGATCACTTGAGTTCAGTGGTTTGAGACCAACCTGGCCAACATGGTGAAACCTCATCTCTACAAAAAATACAAAAATTAGCCTGGCGTGGTGGCAGACACCTGTAGTCCCAGCTACTCACTACTGAGGAGGCTAAGGCAGGAGAATCGCTTGAACCTCTAGGAGTCGGAGGCTACAGCGACCTAAGATCATGCCACTGCACTCCAGCCTGTGTAACAGAGTGAGACTGTCTCAAAAAAATCACAAATAAACAAAAATAAAAAAGTTGATCTCACGGAAGTAAAAAGCAAAACAGAGGATTCTAGTAGCTGGTAAAGGTAAGGGAAGGACAGGAAGAGATTTATTAAAGGATACAAAATTTCTGCTTGGTTGGAGGAGTAAGTTCTATTATTAGGATGACTACAGATAACAATAAAATATAGTTTCAAATAGGAGGACGATAGTCAAAGTTCCCAACACAAAGAAATCGTGTTTGAGATGAGCATGCTAATTATTTACCCTGATCTGAGCACCATGTTACATGTATCAAATCACTATGTACCTTATAAATATGTACAATTATTATGCACCAATTTAAAAAAAATTTTTTTAAGTCTGGAAATGTTTCCAATTAAAGAGCCAAAACAAACATGATGATTAAATGCAGTAGTTGGATCTTGTACTGGAGGGGGAAAATATGTTATAAAGCACATTTTTATGTCAACTAACAAAACTGGAATACAGTTGGTAGATTTTTTTAAGTATTGTATCAATGTAAATTTATGAAGTTAATAGCTATCCTGAGATTATGAAAGAAAATATCTGCCGGGCATGGTGGCTCACACCTGTAATCCCAGCACTTTGGGAGGCCAAGGCAGGCAGATCACGAGGTCAAGAGATTGGGACCATCCTGGCCAACATGGTGAAACCCCATCTCTACTAAAAAATACAAAAATTAGTTGGACATGGTGGCCCACGCCTGTAGTCCCAGCTACTTGGGAGGCTGAGGCAGGAGCACTGCTTGAACCTGGGAGGCGGAGGTTGCAGTGAGGCAAGCTCGCGCCATTGCACTCCAGCCTGGCACCTGGCAACAGAGCAAGACTCTGTCTCAAAAAAAAAAAAAAAAAGAAAAAGAAAATATCCTTATTTGAAGTATTCAGGGTAAAAGGCCAGAATGTATCTAACTTATGCTCAAATGGTTCAAGGAAAACAAAGATGTACTTATGTGTCTATATACAGTTATCTATACAAAGAGGAATCACAAATAATAAAGCAAATGGGAATTGCAAATGATAAAGCAAATGGGAAAAAAAATTAATCAGTAAATTTAAACAGAGGGTATAACAGGTATCATTTTTAGATTTTCAACTTTTTTAAATGTTTGAAGTCATTTCTGAATAAAACGTTAACTTAAAATGCAATTGGCTTTGGCCAGGTATGGTGGCTTCCACCTGTAACCCCAGAACTCTGGGAGGCCAAGGCGGGTGAATCACTTGAGGCCAGGAATTCAAGCCCAGTCTGGCCAACATGGTGAAACCCTCTACTAAAAATACAAAAATCAGCTGGGCATGATGGCACATGCCTGTATTCCCAGCTACACAGAAGCTGAGGTTGGAGGATCCCTTGACCCTGGGAGGACGGCTTGAGCCTGGGAGGTGGAGGCTGCAGAGAGATCACACCACTGCACTACAGAATGAGAAGCTGTCACAAACAAAAAACATACAAAAAAAAAAAATCAGTTGGTTTTAACACAAAAGACATCCAAATGATACCATGGTGTTTTTTTTTTTTAAATCCGCTTAATTCTAGTCATAGAAAATTTAGCAACTAATATATGATAAAACCTTCTCTAGCACAGAATGATTTTTAAGTTTAGCTCTGAATACACCTAAATGTTTCTTTGCACTTAGTCACATATGGCCAAGCTGCAAATCCATCTAAGCATCTAGCTGCAAGTGAATCGATCTACCTACTAACCATAATATCATATCCAACAAAACAAGATCTGAAAGACTTTTAAAATCATATTTATATAAACTAACAGGTCTATTCATTCTGTTTACTCACATCTGCTATCTAAAACTTTCCATGAAAAACATCCCTAGGGAGAGTCAGCCTCTCTCCTCCCTTAGTATGTCGTGGTAGTCTCCCACTAGCAATCATTACACACCCATATCCTTAAACTGTCGTTCCTATGCCAAACTGAGACTTTCATGCATCATCTGAAAAAATATTTCAACTGTCACATGGTGGTAGTGCTGCCTGTCAGTTAACTCTTCTTTTCAGAAGTTTTGCCATCTTGGCCTATATACAGAATAAATTTGGAATATTTTACCTTACAGCCTTGTAAGTGGAAAACCAAAAAACTAAAATGCCAATAATAATCATAATATATTGGGTACTGAAAGCGTAATGTAGCTACAGATTTCTTTAAAGAACGTGCATGAAATACTGGACCTAGATCATTAAAAACTCCCTCTCAATTATGAGGTACTAAAAGAGAAAACAGTACATGTTGATAGACTGAAAAAAAAAATCAGCGTTTATATTCCAATAGTAAAAATACAGTTTGTCACAAATTTCTCTATAAACGGAGAGGGGGAGAAGATGAGAATTCATTAGTTTCTTGACAAACTTTACTCCCCCAAATTAATAAAGCACTAACATCTGCATCATAACACCTTATTCATCTCTCTTACAAAATCAATCGTTCTTCCCAAAACTAACACTGATTTCTGCCTACAAAATGCCATTTTAAGAAAACAAGAACAGGAAAGGCCTGGAGGTTCACACCCGAATCCTAGCACTTCGGTGGGAGGAATCTGAGACCAGCCTGGGCAACAAAGCAAGATCTCCACTCTATAAAAATAATTAGCCAGGTATGGTGGCAAAAGCCCATGGTCCCAGCTACTTGGGAAGCTGGAGACCACCTGAGCCTGGGAGGTCAAGGCTGCAGTGAGCCATAACTGCACCACTGCACTTCAGCCTGGGTGACACAGCAAGAACCTATCTCAAGAAAGGAAAAGAAGAACAAATGAGATAATAAATGTCCTGAGGAAATTAATATTTATAATACCTTTAATGCTTAAATGCATATACATTAATAAACAAGAGCCAGAATTTTTTTTAAAAACACACTTAAGTATTTCATAATTAGAGATGGCATAAAACTTTCAAGTCATCCAATAATAGAGGTTCTCTTATGTTTTATCAGACCACTGCTGCATTTTGGTACATTTGACTTCAGTACACTTAAACCTCGCTTTCAGGAAGATAGATAGGTAAGTGCCTAACCTTACTATAACATAGATCACAATGTTTACCTATGTCCTTAAGAGTGTGTCTATTATCAGCTGGCTGTAAGTAGCATAAAAGCAAAACTCTTAGTCTCATCTTTTTCCCTGCTCCCCCCAAAAAAATCTTGTATAGTCCTTGATATAAGCATGTTAAAGCAACTACTCACCTGCTTTTAACAGATGCCTGTTATATAATTAAGTCAAGAAAATTATTAAGTTGCAAGGACTTGAGCTAATTCACCCTTCCTTTTAAAGAAAAGGAAACCGACATCTAGAGAAACAAAGTGATTGCCAGTGGTATAGTGAAGACTAAACACTCAGGTCACCTATATTGTTTTTATTATAGCAACACTGGGTTTCTTTCCCACAACTTTTGTAGAATACATATATTGAGTGTATCTAAATAATTCTCTATTCCTTAGTGAGTTGCTATGATAGTTAATATCAAAAAGGTTAAGTCAAAAAGGCAGGAAATAACAGTTTTCTCAGAGAAAGGAGGTAAACAAACATATTCTAAAAGAGAATGACCATGCATTGCTTATACTTTCTTCCACCATCCCCATTAAGCTTTCAGGTGCAATGCCCCCTTTTCTTCCCTTACTTCTAAACTATTAGGCTATAGATTCCCCAGGTTTAACAAAAACAATCCAAGAAACAGGTGACTCCTGAAATACTGAAATTTCTGAGAGCCACCATCTGCTAGAGGCCTGCTAGCTAAGTTTTCGGAGGGAGGACTGGGGCTGATGGAGACTTCAAAGGCATTGCTACACTGCTCACTCCTTGCCCTTCACCCATAGACATCACCATGCTGCTCTGGGCTTCTGAGACCCTTCTTTCTACTGTTCCCTCCTAAACAATTTTACTATGCTGTTTCATACCGCCACTCCACTGTGAACCAGCTCTTCTAACCCTCAACTTCTTTACTGAACATTCTTGTCTTTACCTCACCTGCATAAAAACCGGGCTCTTTCTTGAGGATACTGCTTTCCCTGTGGAACTTGCTACATGGAGGCTAAATCGTTGTCTCATACTCTACACACCTAAGATAGGAGGAAGGTCAGTACCCTCTGCTCACCAATGCTGCTTCCAGACTTCTATTTCAGAGGCCTTGGGGAAAAGTCTTGGTTATTCTGCTATATCATTCTCTATCCTTCCTCATTGCTTCTATCTACCATCCTGCCAGTCACCTCACTGCTCTTTACCAAAGACTCTTGCCCTATTCTTCCTCTCCACCCCTAGTCCTGCCATCATACTGGGTGACTTCAATGTTAGGCAGAAGTGCAATCCCGTATCACAGCCTCATAGTTTACTTGACGTCACCTCTAGCAATCCTAATCTGACTACACAGTAGGCCTTTGCCTCATGGTCTAACACTGGCCATTAAAATCAACCTGAACTGCTATTCCTCTGAAATTCTGAATTCAACATCGAACATAAAACATCGAAAACACACACAGACACACACACACACACACACACACACACACACACACACAGACACACACACATACTCCTCTGCTCTCCAACACATGCATTCTTTCTCTCTCTCCCCCTTACTTTGACCACAATCTCCTATCATTCTGGCATTTATTTATTCTTACTACTCTTGGTTCTTAAACCTAATTTGGGTCTTGAATTCACTGACCATCTACTCTCCTCCTACCTGTCATGCCTTTTTCTATTCACATCCTTCAACTCAGATGCCACAGTCCATCACTTCAAATTACTCTCTTGCTATCAGCCTCAGCTTTCTTGACTTACTGTCCTACCACAGGGCCCACATACCAAAACACATCCTTGAATCAATACAATCATTTGCTTTCTCTAAACCCATACCTAGGCTGCTAGGCACGGTCAAAGAAAAGTCACCCTAACATTTAGACCACCTTTCAACCTTGATCAGACTCCTAATACAATGCCTTTGGTTTCCCTAGTAAGAGGTATTGCAGACCTCTTCTAGCCAAGCATGATCCAGTTCATTCCTAGCAAACATACTGCTTTAAAGAATAAACATAAACCATCAAAGAATTCCCTCAACTTTCAGTCACAAAACTCTAATAGTATCAATGCCCATACTTTACTTTCCATTCCCTAAAATCAAAGTTGTGTCCTTCCCTCTAACACTTCTCTTCCACCTGAACTAGGGAGCTCATCCCTATCCCCTTCTGACTTTCTGCCAGCGCCTGTGATCAGATTTTCCCCTTCCCATCTTTTAAAAAAAAGAAGCCCTTCCTCCATTGCATATTCTTCCTCCTGCTTGCTAACATTTTAATTTTCCTCCCACAAAAAAACTCAAACTTCTTAAGAGTAGTCAACATTTAATATCCATTTGCTCAAGTCTCACTCACTCCTCAATCCTAGCCATGCCTACTCACACCACACCATTTGCTGCTGTCCTGCCAACACCTTCCCTCCTTTTTGACCAACTTGCAATCTTTAACTGTTCTCTCTAGTATTTGATAATTTTGACCATTTCTTCCACCTTTAAGTAGTCCTCTTCTCTTGGTTCTCCCTAGTTGGTATCTGGGGCTTTAATTTCTATCTCTGAGCCCATGACAGAAACATACAGCCAAGATCTCTCTCAAGAGCTTCATATGTATAATGTCCATAACTTACTGGCTATCTTAGAGGATGTACATCAATACCAATATATTCAAAACTGAATTTGTTTCTTCCCCTTTTTTGATCTTTTTTTTTTTAAAGAAGTTCTTACTTGGCTCTGATATCTTCCCCTCTTAAACTTACTTTAATCTCTCATGTTCCCATCTCAGTTTCTCATACTGCCATCCATACATGCGCACATGCCAGGAACCCAGCGTTCCTGGGGTCATCTTTACCTCTTCCCCTCATCCTTTATGTCCCTATCTATCAAACACCAAGTTCTATGTATCTGTGCTCATCCACTGCCTCAATGTTCATAATCTCCTCTTTCTTAGATTACAGCAACTGGTTTACCACTGTGCTACCCAACTCAAATACATAGTATATTCAGCAAATTCACCATAATCATCATTTTATAAAACACAGCTAAATCAGAATGCTAATAAAAAGCACACGTACAAATCACTTTATGCAAATCAGTTACATGGAAAATGGATACTCAAAAGAAAAAAGAATACATTTCAAAATAATTGATAATAGCGTAACTCAGTTTCTACTCTTCAACAAAATGTCTACACTCACTATGCCTAACTTTACGCCTACCACTGGAAAATTACACAATATTGAAATACTTAAAACATGCTACAAAAATGTTCTTTAAAAATTAAATATGAAATAATTTCTGGGATAACAAAAACACATGTGAAAATATTTTAATATCTCTTGCTCTTCATGTTACCAAGAAACACAAGGAATAAAAGAAAGAAATAGGTACTAAAGTCAAGTCTAATAAACAAAAATATTTTCTATTAATAATTCCATAGTACAAAATAAAAGTGACAAACGAATTTAACTGTGTGAAAAGTTAAGGTTGAATGCTGAGTGCAAGTGAGTTAGAAAAAGCACTAACACCTTTAAATGAGATAGTGGAGAAGACTTCTTATCAATGTGACTAATGAACATAATCTAAAACACAAAATATAGTGAAATGTTCCGTAAATCAAAAAGTGGCATGAAAGCACAAAACTGTGTATAGATTGGATTACCTGAAGTTTTACTCAGCTCTGCTGAAAATATAGCAGATGGTGATCTGTCCTCTTTTTCTGTATCAGAAGGAAGTTTTTTCTCAGCTTCTTTCACAAGAACTTTCGGTTTAGCTATGCTGCCTATCTCTGCTTGAGTGGCTAAAGCAGAAACATCTGGAGGCAATAAAAGCACCTTTGACATAGCAGACCCATTTTTGGAAAAGTCATCTGAGAAACTGATTTTCTCTTCAACTTTGGGTTGTACATTCTCGAAAGAAAGGTCATGGGGCAATTCTGTGCAAGGCAATGACCCAGCTTCATCCTGGGCATTAGCAATTTCACTTTTGTGGGATACTTCTAGGTCAGTATATTCCCTGGCTAATTTAGATAATGAATCAGTTTTAGAACTGATCAATGTAGGGAACTCATCTATAATTTCAATTGGAGATGAATCTGAAAATGTTTCAGTTTCTCTCATTTGTGCTTCCTTAGAAATAAATAAGTCATCATTTGAAGAAACTGCAGTACTGAGCTCCTCCATCTGCAAAGGAATTTTCTCCTTTTTGTTCAATGTTGAAACTTCATCAGGTAATAGAATATCTTTTGTGGTATCTAAATTGAGCTTAAAAGATTCCAAATATGGCTTTCCTCCCTCAGGTGATAAAGCACTGAGTTTTTCCTTATTTTCGTGTTCTGTCATTGACTCAAATGAAGTTTCAGTGAGATTTTCTTTCACAAGAATCACAGCTTCATCTTGTTTTTGTGGAACGTCAGGTATTGAATCATCACTAAATAAATCAACTGGTTCAGAATCAGGTGAGGAATCTTCAACTAGCTCAGAATGATCAGGCAGTGGCTGTTCAACTTTTGCCATTTCTGAATAACTAGAGAAATCTGGAGTTGGTTCAGCAGAAAGCTTTGTTTCTTTAATTAAATCACATGCAATAGATATATAAGGAGCTTCTGTTTCTTGAACAGCTGCCTTAATACTTTCAGGCTCTTTAATTTCTTCCTTTATTCCTGATATTTTTTTTAGTGACACATTCATGGCCTCTTCATATGGTGGGGGATTTTCAGGCTCATGTTGTACGCTTTCATAATTAACTGAAGAAGCTTCTAATGGTGATGAGCTAGGCTGTACTGCGGAAGCACCAGCACTAGGAACTGCAGAATTCAATGGTGCTTCCATAACAATGTCAGGCAAAACTGGTGAAGGAGTAGCTTCAGATTCTTCAAATGATGGGCAAAGCTGTGCCACAGGATAGAGTGATTCCTGCATAGCTTCTGATGTTTGGACCAAGTCCATTTTTGTTTCATAAGCAATCTTTGTACCAGTAACTTCATTCAATTCACTTTCATATGCTTCCTGTACTAAATCTGGAGTCAGACCTTCAGGCATGTTTGCCACTACTTCCTCAGTCACCTTTGCTAAATTGTCTGTTGTGACATAATCTGTCTCAGAATCCTGTGCTGCTACAAGAAAAGGATTTGATGTTTTGGTGCTAGTAGTCTTCTCTGTTACAATTTGGGCCTTCTTTTCTTCTATTTTTTTTTCATCAGTTTTATTTTCTGAAGTGTGATCTCCTAACAAAGGAAAAATGTTTGCTGCAATGTTCTCAGTTGCTACTGGGTTAAAGGGAGCACATGTGATATATGCTCCTGAACGATCCTTTATAGCTTCTGGTGTACTGGGGAAAGAAGTATCGTCATTACTACTCTCGCTATCTTTTTCATGATCTGCAAAACCTTTTTTATCCACTTTACTTTCCAACTTGCTGTCTATTTTACCTCCAGCAGCCAACATGTCACTATCTCCTTTACCATCTTTCACTTCCCATACTTGCTCAAATGGTTTGAAGTCTGCATACTCCTCACTCATAGGAGCTTCCACTGCAACTCTCTTTTCATTAAAATGGTCTTTTACTTTTTCTGAAGACATAACTTTGTCCTCTTCTTTAACCAATTTAGTATGGGCTACAGGTAACTCTTGTTGATTATGAAGGATGTTATTACTAACTAAATTCTCTTCTTCGTCTTTATTTTTCACAATTATTTCTTCCCTAGGGTTTGCTACTATTACAGCAGATTCTGCTTTTGGAGAGCCACTGAAAGATGATCCCATTTCTGAGTATTCTAATTCTGAAAACTCTGTTAAATCTCTATCTATAAGCAGAGTTTTTGCCTTCTCTGAGAACTCTTTAGAAGCTTCATTGACAGTTTCTTGAAGTGTTCCTTTGGTGGGTAATACTGCTGACAAATTACCAAGGTATTCATGTTCTTTAAAAGAAGCGGCTGACAGAGGAGACAGAGAAGGAAGAGAAGCAGCAGTTTCAAGCAGGACAGATGGGAAATCCTCTTGACCAGCCGAAATATTGTTACCTGGCTGCTCCTTCAAGTCCATAATTTTTTCTGTGACCATGGACAGAAAGGAAAATTAGACAATGCCAGTGTTCTCAGAGTTAATGCAAGTTTTATGACAGATTCAAAATAGCGTTAGTAAAGACTTACTGTTTATTAAAATGAAATGTTAATAGCAATAAATAACAGACTAAAAAAATAGACTTGAATCATTACTGAAAATATTAAGCTACTGTAAATATAACATATGCATGGCTACGGAGGCAATACATGCCATGCAAAGACAAATCAAGGCTGAGAAAACCTCAAATGTTATCAGCTAAGATACTATTAGCTAGTTTTAGAGAAGAAAAGCTTAATTGTGAAGAGTTTGAATGACAGTATAGGAAAGAAGGGGCACTGGGTAATTAAATGCCAGACTGGTTATTTATTTACATGAAAGCCTTTCTGGCTATACTCAAACTATATTTGGAGAAAGGGAGTGGTAAATATGTAAATGTAATTCAAGGGTCCAAGAATTCCTCATGTACTTCCAACTATTCATTGGATTTTGCTCATTTTCCCTTGGGCATACCATATAAAATGCAAATTTCAACTTTTCCAGTAGGCAAACATTCTTGGAACCATGCTAATTTTTAGTAAATTCAAATTACTCTGCATAGAGGTAACACACTAAAGAATTAAAGTTAGAACACAGAGAGGATAAAAGGTTGGCAGAAAGAACTTGCCTGCAGAGGAGCGTATCACAGGCTCAGATGCAGCAGGAAGAGCAAAAAGGGTCTCATCTGAAAAACAAATAGAATATAACCTCAGCAGAAATAAAGACAGATTGAAAGGAGACTAAAGATAAGAGGAGCAAGCCAGGGTTCAGTTTATAGTAAGTTAACAAAAAACTTTATCTACAGAGAAAGGGCCAAAGATCAAAAGGAAGTCAAAAAAAAGTAGTACCATTAATTCCAGTTAAATCATCATATATATTATAAAGTTGATTAAATGCTATCCATATAGCCTATCATTTTTCAAGAAGCAATACAACCTGTTTATGTTAAAGAAACTTATGAATCAAAGTGGTTTTAAAATACTGTTCTACTTAACATATCTTATCCAAAGTTTTCACTCATTTTCATACAGGTAAATTTGCTTGTCTATTCAAGCAAAAATAAAAAGCTGAATTTGTATAAAATTAACAATTATAAATGCTTACTCTTTTGTTACTGGCATATGTTCAATTTAGAAAAACACTTTTAAAGAATTATGCGTATTTTCTTATATTCTAAGTTGTCTATATTGAAAGAAAAAGACTCTAAGAGTCACTGTACACTGTTCTTTGAAGACATTAGTCCTGTGCCAGTGTCCAAATGCCAGAGTCCAAAATACAAATAACAATAATAATAATAATAATAGCTTTAGGATGACACTACTACTAGTTTTGTTTAAAATTAACTTAAGTGAGGGCTACTTGTTATTTGTATACACAACTAGTGAGAGACTAAGGCAATTCAACTCCATAGCCCATTTCCTTAATCATCGTATGTTACAGAACTGAATGTTTATATCCCCTCCAAAACTCATGTTAAAGCCCCAACCACCAATGTGATAGTAGCTAAAGATGGGGACTTTGAAAGGTGATTAGGGTTAAATGCAGTCAGGGTAGGGCCCTGGGCCAAGGGGATTAGTGCCCTTACAGGAAGAGATACCAGAGAGCTGCTTTCAGTCATGCTCCCTCTCTCCCCAAGCACACATAAGAGGTCATGTGAGCACACAGTGAGATGGTGGTCACCTATATGCCAGAAGAAGCCTCAGAAACAAATCTATCTCACCAGCACCTTGATCTTAGACTTACCAGCCTCCAGAATTCTGAGAAGTAAATTTCTGTTCAACCACTCAGTCTATGATATTTTGTCATGGCAGCCCAAGCTAACTAATATACTCTATATTGGTAATATTAACTTTGTACAATATCATCTTGTACTTGCAGTTGGGAGATTCTAAGCTAAAGATCTTCCACAGCTTACACTACAGAAAGGTCTCTACCATCAGACAATCTGAAATAGCGAAAGATGGCTGGAAGGTGGTATTCCTTTAACAGAGAGAACCTAATAAATTTAGACAATTTCATCCAAAAGGACAAACTAAACAAGGCTCATCAAAACAGATGAAAATCAAAGAGATGTAGCTAACATAAATACGGACTTATCTTCCAAGTGTATTACCCTTAATCAATTAGGAGAGCTAACTTCACAAGGTCATATATATTTTAGATAAATATATACTGGGCATGATGTCATAAAGGATTCCTAGATGAGGATGATGACAGGAAATTTATGATGTGTGGTTAAAGGGTTTCCTACAAGCTAAAGCAATAGGTAGAATGGGCTATCCAGTCAAAGGAGTGACATAATAATGGCTTGTAAGATTTTTTTAATAAAGTGCACATACGTGTACACACTTTTAAAAAATTACCTGCTATGTGATCTTAAATTACAGTTTCTCATTTGTAAAATGAAGGAAAGTTCCCTTTGGCTAAAACAATGAATTATGAGCTTGTAGAAAACTGAAATTTAAGAGTCAAAGAGCAGAACCAAATAATTACACACCTGCTCCATCTAAATAAGAGCCAATTCTTAACAAAATGGTTGCCTTTTCCAATCCAGACAATATAGTTAAAAGCCACTAATTCAGAGGCTAGTCCACCTGGAAAGTGAACTAGAAACATATATTATTGTTAAAATTAGTGGGAAAACAAACAACATCTAAATTTGTGCCAAAATTTAATTTTTTTTAATGTACTGTAACCTTATTCCTACCTAGTACAGTAAGGATCTCTTGCAATAAAAATTATATTCCTGGAATTTTTCTAAGTAAAAAAGTTTTCAAATTGGTATTTCAAAGATTCAATAAGTTTAAGAAGAAAAAAAAAAAGGAAAAACATCTTCATTTTGTAAAATGGGATTCAATCCAGAGTTAACCATAAAACAAGCACTACATTTCTAAAAGCTCTTAAAAAAAAAAAAAAAAAAAAAAAAAATTCCAGAATAGTTAACTATCTTCTGGGCCTTCAAGAATACAGCTCAGACTCCTAATAAAGCAGTCATGGATCATGAAACTGAATTGGCTAAGTTCAAATCACAAACCCATCACTTACAACTGTGTAACTCTTAGCCTTTCTGTGCCTCATAAGATTTGTAAAATAAGGATTAATAATAGTACCTACCTCAAAATGTTGAGAAGGAGGGAGAGGGAAAGAAAAAAGAAGTAACTACTTGCCCTAAATCACAGAGCTAGGAGACCAGAGGGCCAGAATTCAAAACAGTCTAATTCCCAAGTCTTTATGCTTTAACACTTTTTTTTCTGCTAGACTTCCTCAAAGCATGAGATGTGCTTCATTTTCTGAAGGATGTGTTTATGTACAAGTGCAACTGGTGTAAATCCTTCTTACTATATCAGTCCCTCAAGTCTGTTCTCCTAAAACAAGGTAAATTGTTACCCAGTAAATATCTTGTAATTAGCAGAAATATTACATTGATCAACTGCTTTTATTTTACAATATAACACATTTATAGAAACATTAATGTGGGACAGGTACCCTGCTGACCCGGCACATTTGTTTCATATGTTCGTTCAGTTCTCAAACCTACCCTGTAAGGGAGGTACTTCTGTTACCCTCATTTTACATGAGAAAACAGAGGCATTTAAATCGTATGTAATTACAAAACTAGAAAAAAACGGCATTTTAAAACCATAGAACTTCTGCTTCTGGCTATGAGAGTAATTACGTCAGACTAACTCTTCCAATATAAGCAACTAAAAATATGAGCAAAATACTAGCAGCAACTATCTTGAGACACTGGACAAGAGGCAGTACAGTAGTGTGAATCCTGAGAAAAGGGAAACCTACGAGATGACTACCCTGCTTTCTGTCTAAAGGCACATTCTGGTCTACGGTACAGACAGATGTCTAAGAATACCGCACTTTCGCTAAGCTGAAGAGCCTGAGGAGTTGTCTGGAATTTGTGGAGCAGGGTAACAAACAAAGAAAAGCTTTACAGAAAAGGAGCTCTAAAAAATGTGGACAGGGGTCTGAAACCTTTGGGTGAATACTACGCTGCACATGCACAGCACAAGACTCATCAAAGCCTCGCCAAGAAACCTACGGTAGATCTGCAAGCTAAAAGGATTATTCCGAAGGTCAGATGGTGCTGGAAGACCTGACCTAAAAATTCTGACCAGTCAGACAGGAAAGATCTCACTAAACAACTCAAGCAGGACTACTCTAACCCTAAAATAAAGGATACTCTGGACCAAGAGTCAGCAAACTATGGCTCATGGGCTCACACTGTATTGGAATACGGCCATGTCCATTCATTTCTGTACTGTCTATAGCTACTTTTGCACAATAAAAACAGAGATGAGCAGTTTAGACAAAGGTTGTATGGCCCACAAGCCTAAAATATTTACTCCATTCAGCCCTGTAAGTCTGCAGATCCCCTGCTTCTAGACCCACCCTAACTTTAAAATCAAAACTTGAAAGGATCAAAATTATTTTCCAGCTAATTAAATGCCTGCCAGAACAAAGTTAAAACCACCAAATCCATGACATACAGTATAAAATTAAAAATCGCTGGACATGTAAAGTGGCAAGGAAATATGACCATAAATAAGAATAACAAATATAAACAAACAAATAACGCAGATGTTGAATTAGCACTTTTTTCTTAAGGCAGAGTCCCACTCTGTCACCCAGGCTGGAGTGCAGTGGCACTATCTTGACTCACTGCAACCTCCACCTCCCAAGATTCTCTTGCCTAACCTCCCCCCCAAAAAAAGATAAAATGGCCTAAAATTGGACAAAAGTTGGCATTTTGAAAATACCAACCCACAGACCCACAAAGCTCAATGAACTCCAAGCAGAATAAACACAACACCACAAAGGGGCACATCCTAAGGGTCAAACTGAAAATCAAAGACAGAGACAACCCTAACAACAGTCAGAGGAAAAGAGCAGGTAAACAATAGTAAGAATGACCTCACCTCTCAATGATTTCATCCAAAAGGTAATTGAACACCTTTAAAGTTATGAAAAAAACTGACAATCTAGAATTATATACAGAGGATCCTCATTACTCATGGATTCCTTATTTGCTCATTTACCTACTCACTAAATTTGTAACCCCAAAATCCATACTAGCAGCATTTTCCAGGACATGCACGTGAGCAGAGCAGGCAAACTTCGGGTCATCCAAAGTACAAGTTCCCAGCTGAGATGGAACAAGGCAACCCGCCCGCCTTATTGTTTCAGCTCTGCCACTGTAAACAAGTGTCCTCCTCTCAGTCTATTTAGTGCCACATTTTTCTCATTCTTGTGTTTTTCTCGTTGATTTCCCTGTTTAATATGGCCCTTATGCATAGCCCTGACATGCTATCTAGTGTTTTTAACCAGAAGAAGGCTATGATGTGCCTTACAGAGAAAATATACATTAGATAATCTTCCTTCAGGCATGAACTATAGTGTTCTTGGCCATGAGCACAATGTTAATGAATCAGTAATACATGTTAAATAAAATGTCTTTATTTTTTAATTTATATATAATAGTTATTTTTTGAGGGTACATATATTTTGATACCTATAAATAATGTGTAATGATCAAGTCAGGGTTATACATCACCTTACATTTTTCTTTCCTTTGTGTTAGAAACATTACAATTCTGCTAGCTATTTTGAAATAAAGAATAAATTGTTAACTATAATTCCCCTATTGTACTATCAAATACTAGAATTTATAACCTTCTATCTAACTGTATTGTTGTACCCCAGGTGGCTTTAGACAGAAAAACACATAAAACAAGGTAATGTACTGATTGGTTAACAAAAATATTATGACAAGAGGCTTACAGGAACCTGTGCAGTATTCTCCCTAAGAACAATGATTCAGTATGTGCTAATTCCCTGTTTTTGGTGGCTATACAGAACATAACGATACCTAAAAAACAAGAACTGACTGTATTATTCAAAACATATATATTTTTTCAATGGCCAGGCATGGTGGCTCACACTTGTAATCCCAAGACTGTCAGAGACTGAGGCAGGAAGATAGCTTGAGCCCTGGGGTTTGAGACCCCATCTCCCCAAAAACAAATCTAAAAATTAGCCAGGTACAGTAGTGTGTGCCTGTAGTCCCACATACTTGGGAGGCTGAGGTGGGAGGATCACTTGAGCCCAGTAGTTCAAGACTGCAGTGAGCTACGATCGTGCCACTGCACTCCAGCCTGGGCAAAAGTAAGACCCTATCTCTAAACAAACAAACAAAATATGTGGAAAAATTAAAAATTAATAAAGGTATTTTCAGATAAACAAAAGCTGAAAGAATTTGTCACCAAGACACCTACAATACAAGAAATGTTAAATCAAGTTCTTCAGAATGAGAGAAAATGATACCAGATGTAATTTGCATCTTTATACAGGAATAAAGAATGGCAAAAATGGTAAATATATAGGTAGATGTTTTTTAAAGAACTTTTTTTCTCATTTCTTTCTTCAAAGAATAATTAACTTTCTGAAGCACAAATAATCACAAAATACAATAACAATTAATACATGCAGAAGCAAAACTTATGACAATGAAAGTACAAGGGATGAAAAGAGTATATGAAAGTATGTTTTATTACATGTGAAACATGTAAGGTGGTATAAGATTCTTGCTATTTTATAAACTGAGAATGCATTCTGTAATCCCTAGAATAGCCTCTTAAAAAATAAAGACGTACAGCTAAAATCCCAACAGAGGAGATAAATCTGAATATTATAAAATCCTTGATTAATCCAAAAGAAGAAAATAAAAGAATCCAGAAAGCAGATGGGACAAAGGAAAAACAAAGACAGAGACAGACACACACACACACACACACACACACACACACACACACACACACACGATACAGGTGATTTAGGTCATGCTACCAATAAACTAAACTGACTTTTATAGAACACTATAACCAACAATATAATACACATTCTTCTCAAGTACACGTGAAATATTCACCAAGATAAAACATTTCCTGGACTACAAAACAATCTCAATAAATCTAAAACAATTGAAATCATGCAGTCTATGTTCTACAGTGAATTCAATTAAATCATCTAAAATATCCTCAAATGTTTAAAATTTAAACTACAGAATTCTAAATAATCCATGAATCAAAGAAAATACCTTGAGGAAAATTAAAGAATATTCTCAATCAAATGATAATGAAAATGTGTGGGATGCAGCTAAGGTAATGCTTAGAGAGAAACATACAGTTTCTAAATCCTTTTAGAAAAAAGGCTTAAAATCCAAGTATAAAGCTTCGGCTTTAAAAGAGCAAGTTAAATCCAAACAAGTAAAAGAAAGTAAGTAGTATAGAGTAGAAACTAATGATAAAAAACAGACCAAAAAAATATATATATATCAATGAAACAAAAAGTTGCTTCCTGAAAAGATCAACAGAATTGATAATCGCCTAAAAAAATAGAGAGAGACAAGAGACTGAGAGACAGAGAGGAAGCAAGTATTGAAAATAAAAGAGGGACTATTACTGTAGATCCTAAAAACATAATATTATGCACAAATTTATGGCAATAAATTAATTAGACAACTGAGTAAATTCTTTGATGTCTACTTATCAAAATGAAATAGACAAGTTTCTTTATACTCAGTCATCAAGATGAAACAGATGCATTCCTTAAAAGACACAAATTACCAAAACTGACACAAGCAGAAATCAAAAATCAGAATAGCTCTATGTGACTATACTTGTAATTTAAAACCTCCAAGAAGAAAACTTCAAGCACAGATGGAGCACATCATTAGTGAATTCTATAAAATATCTAATGAATAATACTAACCTTACACACACTCTTTCAGCATATTAAGGTGTTGAGGATTCACTCAGGATGGTGGGCAAAATGTTCAGGGAAATATTAGGGAGAGTTGTAAGATTACAGTCCCAAACCTTTTGGAATGGGTCAGGCTGAAGGCAGCCAGTTTTTACCTTAGAACATTAGGTCATAGGGGGAAGAGGGATAACAGAAACTTCCCCAGTTAAGTCTGTTTACCCCACATTCCTTTGTCTCTACTCCAATTACTTGTTTATTCATATAAACTTTGTGAGGGATGGTCCTCTCAGGGGGAAGTTGAAGAGGGATATTATCCGTGTTTGTTCTGGACCCCAGAACAAAAACCTTTTAACATTTGTAAAACCACTCTTTTACGATGTTAATTATCCAACAAGCATGTTGACTTAGAACCTCTGTCATTACAGCTATACTGAATAAATGTAAATGCCAGCAATAACAGCTAGTAAGGGGTTAGGTAGCTGCAATCGCCCTCTGGAAGCAGCTGACGACCTTCCTAGCCCACTCCATCACTGTACTCTGGTGTGTGAGTGTATTTTATACATCAGTCACTGAATCAGGGCTCACTTGCAGGAGAGACTCTC